AACACATTATCTTTGATAATATTTAACGGAACATTTAAGGCGTTTAAAGACACCTCTAATAAACAATTAAAGATCATTAAAGGGAATGAAAGTTTTATCACCTTTAATACTCACAGCTTATATCCCTGTAAAGGTACATGTCTCTTTAATACACCTTTAACTGTGTTAAACAGCTGTTAAAGGTGGCGTGCCTTTACAGCCATTTAACACCATGCGTAAAGAAATGAAATGTACCTTTAATACCTTTCATCTACATATTAAAGATTGTTAAAGTTTCTGTTTCGCCCTGTGCAGTACTGGCCTGCACCGTTAGGTCAAACCTTAGCGCTAACGTGCCAGGAACCAATACTAGGTTATCCGTTAGCGGGGTACGCCTACATACAGGGTTTCTCCTGGTTTTGCGCTGCTGGGTGTGAATGTGACCCGATGAAAGTTGCGTTCTGCCTTTAGTCCGCCAACCTGCTTAGGTAATACGTTGGGVTTTAACTTTGAGCTTATCATATATAATGGAAGTAGAAGGAACGGATTTTGACCCCACCACCGAAGAAGGTCAATTAGACATTAACGACGAAGAATACGAGACCCTGCTTCCTGATGACAACGTAGACCCCCGAGGCCTTTTTGAGAAATTAAGGAGCAAGTATGGTGGCAGGGCCCGCGATGCTATGCGTTCTTTAAGAGACAAATTTAGGTCTAAAAATCCCCACACGCCCATTCCAGAATATTTACAAATGGAAGACCTTGGCGTGCAGTCGGCGTTAATAACAGACATTATTCACGACCTAAGGCAACGATACCCAAGCGTAAACCTAGCTCCTTTGGAGTTTCAAGTAGGAGACAAAGGGCAGGCTCAAGTTAGAGAAGCAGATAGGGAAAAATGGCACAACCTGTATCAAAGAAAGAATTCCTCCCTGCTTAACAACCAGCTTCCAAAGGGAGTCAAGGATGCGTTGGGGGCGCCCAACTTAACGATACTAAGCACTTTGACTGAAAAGGAAACAGAAGTTGCTCAAAAGGCTTATCTCAAGAGCCTTTTGAACCCCAACTACCAAAAGATCCTCGAATCTGCGACTAAATTGCAAACCACGCAACAAGAAAAACGTCAACAATTAGAAACTGTCGCAGAGGAAAAGAGCAAAGAACTTGAAGAACTTCCCCCAAATAGCGACGCGACCGGAGGTGCTGTGAGTTACTTGCAAAAGGTAAGAGCTGAAAAGGAAGCACTTAAGAAGGAAATACATGAAAATAACATAACCATCCTTGACCTTACGCGCAACCTTGACGAAGTGACCAAGGAAGAAGGTGGTATCACTAGTCGCTTCGATGCTGTTAGGGAGGAAAACCAGGCATTACAAGGAAGAATAGAAGAATTGGAAGACGAATTCATGAAACAAGGTAGACTAACTACTGAACGTCATGCAGCCGAAATTGCCGACTTTAGAGCTAGGCTTTCTAAGCTGCTAGAAGAAAAAAGCAGTGCAAGAAATCAGCTAAGGGTTGCTTTGAATGAATCGGCGGGGAAAGACGCAGAACTACAGCGCTTGGGAAAAGAATTAATGGAGTCTGTTGACAGAGAAAGGCAAGTAACGGCGGACAAGGCAGTGGCGGATGAACGAATACGGCAACTTCAACAGGCCCTCGAAGACTTGGAGGGGCAAATAGAGCGGCAACAGGAAATAAGTAATGACCAAACTCGTCCCGAAGAGGAAAGGGAGGCAGCCCAAAGGGAAGTGKAAACCCTTCAGGAAAGGGTTGCGGAATTACAGGCGCAAAAAGAAGGCCTGGAGCGGGAGTTGGGGCTTACCACCAAGGAAAAAATAAAAAAGGATTTGGTAAAGTATGGCGTACCGTTAGCATTTGCAGTTGCTATTAGCGCCGTAATAGGAGTAATCCTTAGCTCCCTTAAGGCTACGGGCGCGGGCGTAAAGAAATTAGGCAATGGGCTGACGGACTTGGGAAAAAAGATGGCAGCTGGTCTGCCTGGGCTATTGGGTTCTGTCATCTCTTTGGTACTTAGGACCGGCGGGGAACTGTTGAAGTTCGTGGGGAATAACATTTGGATCTTGGTAGTAGCCATTGGGGTGGTACTCCTGAAGAAGATGAAGGGTTAATCTTGTCCTTGTGTATTACTGGGGGCTTGTCGGGCTCATTGGGCATCCGAGACATCCTTGACTGGGGATAAGTAAATATAGTATTAGCCCCGGGTTGATAATTTGGCATTAGCGGCAACACACTCATGGTGCTAATGGGCTTATGACACCAAGCAGCATCTACGACATAGCCCTTCAGGCCATTTATCCTTACGCCGCCATCATTGGGGAGCATTTGCAATTTAGCATATTTGCAATTGGCTATCATATGAAAAGTAACTGGAGTAAGATCTTCTCCGCTTAATGGAGGGGGCTCCGACGAGAAATGAACTGAATTCCTAGTATTATTTTTCGTCCTGTAAGGCGGCAATGGATCATCATTCTCATCGACAAGCCTAAACCCCACGTTTGCACCCGACCCCGTGTTAATGCTAATGGTACAAATGACTAACGCAAGACCCCCATTTTCACCACACATTCCGGTATCAAGCCACTCATTCCCTTCATCATAAGCCTTCGCGTCTAAACAGTAAACGTAGCGCGTTTCTCTTAAGTGTGGATTCATATACTTAACACCGTAAGAGTGCTGATGGTTGCGTGGTTATAGGGCTTATTTCTTTGGTCCTCTATGCTATTTACTGTGACCTTTCCCGTATCATCTACGCGCATTTGCAGCTTTACCTTCCCATGGCAATCAGCAACCATGTGAAAAGTCCAAACGGAATGATTTTCGACGCTGCTGGGGTTTGGCTCTACGGAGAAATGCGTAGGCTCCCTGTTGTCTGTCTTAGCTCTCATAGGCTGCAGTATGCCATTCTCATTTAACAACCTAAAGCCCACGTTGTCGTGACTACTCGTGCCAATGCAAATACTGTATAAAATTAACTTCTTTCCAGAGTAGTTCAGGTCTACGGACATTCCCGCGACATCAACCCAAGATGCCTGGGTGTATTTTTTCTCGCCTGTCGTATAGACACAACTACTCCAGCTACGTAGGGGTTGTTCATCGCCATATATAATAGCTCAGACCAATGCTTGCGGCTGCTAGGCCGGCTTTTAGTAAGTTATGGTCATATTCCTCAGGTATCGTAGGCATAACGCGGACCTTCTTTTGTTTCTATGCAGGTGGCTTCGTTTCGTGTGCCTTCTTTGGCTTCTCTA